AACTTGGCTCTTGTACGCCGACGCGAAAGGTTGTGTCGTAGAGCAGACGATGAGCTACTACTGCTGAACGGAAAGTAGCTCCCGAAGATGCTGTTATCTTGCTTGTCCTCCACCTCAAGCATCTGCCACCGTTCGTCGGCTAGTAACTTAACGAGCTCACTTTTACCCCAGTCTTCGTAGATGTCGTTCGGTACATTAATGGTCAACTTCTTCAGGTTCTTGAACTGGGAAGCGTAGCGAGCCCAGAAGCGCCTCCAGCCAATCATCTCGCGTTTCATGAGGGCTACCTCAGCGGGTGTAGGGCGCTTCGCTGTACGCAGCCAGCCAGAGACACCAGGAACGTCGGCGGGGTATTGGATACTGAGTTCATCAACCATGGCGGCGATGGGCGTAAGACTGAAGACGGCTTGGGTCGGAAGCAACAGCTCACGCTTGTCTGCGTTTTCCCCAACAAAGGTTTTGTAGTCGCCGAAATATAGGTTGCCGTCAATACCGGACGCGGGAGACATGTTTGTGCGTTCGCCAATGGAAATACGGATAGGGATACCGAAGCTTCGTAAGGTGGATACCATAGTCTGTATACGAGACAGAATATCTTGTTTCGGAAGCAGTGTCCGGTTGGGCTCGAGATTGGCTGGAAAGACATCGGACATGAGGCTGTCCCAAGTGAATACGGGCTTCCAGTTACACTTCTCAGCTATCCACCGCAGCGCTTCCTGGACCTCTGGCTTGGAGCTAGGGTCACTCATCGCTTGGTCGTTGTTCTGCTGCGTAGTCTGGCCAAAGTGATGTCGGCGCTGCGTTACATTGATGAGATGAAATGGGTGAAGGACGATGTTTTTAAGACCGTGTATGGGCTTGATGTTGATGTTTGGATACTTCTTGGAGATGGTTTGGAGGCTCTGCAGCAGGTCCTCGAATGAAGCTCCTACGCCCTGCACAACATGATTGCCCAGCTCCATGTGATCGCGTCCGCAGTCTTCGAAGGTCTTGTCATCGAATGCCTCTTCCTCATCACGATGGTGATGCCCTTGAGTTATTCGATACGGTATGGGACCAATTACATCGCGATCGCGACGGTCCTCCATCCATGAGTATAAGCCGATTTCGACGTCTTTTATTCGCGACCAGGCTGTGGCATCGGTAGAGAAAAGGGATCGGTAGGGGGCGTAATCGTGTATCCTCAGCTTCGTCATGCTGTCTGGGCAATGCTTCTGCACACCATCCACAAGACAGCAGACGCGCTGGTGGACTTCCCATTCGTTCCATGTGCTAGGCTGGATGTCAGTACTATGAGCGTTGGTGAGGACTCATGGTGGACAAAACTTACTGGAAGCCTGAGTAGCGCTCTCGTATCGCGAGCGTCTTCAGCTTGCTGCAGATTGGAAAGATGATGCTGGCGACAGAACCGCTCTTGTGCCTTCTGGACATGCGGAAGCCCTGCTTGAAGCGATAGTCGTTGTATGAGTAGCTGTACTCAATCCGAGAGTGCGCAGTGTAGTCAGCCCAATTGGCAACCTCGAGCTCTTCGAGGCGGCCGAACAGCTTGGGGCAAGCAGCAGCCAGCATGCTCCACGTCCACGTCTCTTCCGGAGTCCATACGAAGTCTTTAATGGCAGAGATGTCTAAGCTCGTCAGGCATGGTAGGTTTCCTTCTATCCACTTGAAGTCGTCTATACTCGCCCAATGTGACATTGCCAACTTGTGTACGTGTCGGCGGTTCTCATCCGTGATGCTCTCCTGGAAGCTTATCCACCGTATGTTACCCAGGCCTCTGTACTTCCAGTCGCCTAGTCTGATGTCGCGCACATCGTTGAGTTGTATGGGGTATTTGTAGAGGAGCTGATTGACGGTGACGCTGCTTGCCATGCCTTTACAAAGCCTCTTCAAGCTCCAAGCAGCGTCGCGATCGAGATAATCCATGACACACTTGAATATGTCGTCGGGGAGTTTGAGAAGCATGCTGCTCTGGCTCGCGGCAGCTTTGGACTTGGGCTGGTTGAGTGCATCGGAAGCGACAGGGCTACAGTCACGACTTGAAGCAAAGTCGGGCATATCGGGCGAGAGATAGTCAAGGTCGTGCAGGCTGAAGAGATTCATCAAGTAGCGATCGTAGCTCATGGGTGAGAGACAGTGGAGTGGGAAGAGAAGAGGGGACAGAGGAGCGAGGGCAGGCTGGGGCGCAGCAGTTGTACCCAAGGAGTGAGTTGCGCGCTGAGGCAACTGACTGTTCACGTGAGTGAGCGAGTGACTGGGTGAGTGATGTGGTGAGGCGCATGGAGGTGCAGAGCCATGTGTGGGAGGATTGCGAATGTGAGAGCACAGTCGTGGAAGGCGCGATAGTGAGGCTGGCAAGCGGCGCGCGTAGCAGCGATGCGGAGAGGGTGCGGAAGTGCGGCGCCGCCAAGACACGCGTCGCTTTTCGCGCTCCGACGACTTTCTGCCTGCGCGAACCAACTGTCGCAACACCATCACCCGCCGCACACTCACCCACGCGCCGACCCCACGCGCATTCCCACCATGGCCGACGCCCAGGTCTTCGAAGAGACATTCACCGTCACCTCCATCAACAATGAGAAATACGACCGCGTCTCCCGCATCTTTGGCACCTCCACCGACAGCCAAATCACCATGTCGCTCGACATAAACCACGAACTTTTCCCGGTCGAAGCTGGCCAGACCTTGAGCCTGGTTCTGGCAACGACACTGGCGTTGGACGGTAGTGCCAAGGGCGACAACGACTCCATGTGGAGGAGCGTCGGCAAGCAGGGTGTTACAACACTGGCCGACATGTACGACTACGTGTGCTATGGGAAGAACTACCGCATGGAGGGTGGTGACGGCGACATCATGTGAGTGAAGCTCGCGCGGGAGTTCTGCTCGCACCGGGTGCTGACGGCAACACAGAAAGTATTTCGCCAGCTTCGGGGGGCTGCTGTTGTACATGGAGGGTCCTCACCGGAAGCTCAGCGGGCTCAAGATCGACGACATTTACATGCTCATCAAGCACTCATAGTACTAGTGTCTTCGCCTCCACCACGATCCAAGGGAAGCAAGCATAAATAGGCGTTTGGTAGCATTGTGTTGGTATTGGTATCATCTGGTCTAAAAGTTTCGGCACGGCGTCTGGATACCCCCAAAGGACTCGATAGATTCACCCGCCTCTCTTGCGCGGGAATATCACGTTTTCCTTCTCCTTCTCACAGTGTAGGGAACTCCAGCTTCCTGTGCAGTCGACTCACAATCTCAATGTAGTCGCGCTCGTTCTCCGTCGTCAGAATGCCGTGGCGGACCAGAAAGTCGAGCACAACCAGCGCGCAGTTCGGCTTGAATTCGCCTTTCTTCATCCCTTCTTGCACTTCCTCCACACTCCACAGGTAAAACTCTTCGACCTCGTCATCGCCTGGCTTCGGGATTGTGTCTTCGGGAAGCTCGAGATCGTAGACATATTGAACTTCGGGCTGCATCAGGTTCGTCTCTCCTCCTGCCCTTTCGTCTCGAATGTACCAGTATGTGACTGTGCCGCACGCCTTTGCATTCGCCCGAACGAACTCTTCGTCGAGCGAAGCTTCCTCTCCACACTCCCTGACAAGACTCTCGAACGGCGACTCACCTGATGCGATGCCACCTGCAACAGCGTTATCCAGCATGCCTCCATACGTCTGCTTTGTCCGCGCCCGTCTCGGCGTCCAAATCTTTAGTTCCCCGTCTTTCCTCGTGAATGCCGTAAGATGCACACCGTAGGTGACCACGCCGAACAGGCAACTAGCACTCCTTTCCACGTTGAACAACAGCTCCTTCCCCAGCCCATACACAGCATACAGCTCGTTCCGCCACTTGTCCAACACTTTGAAGTGACCTGTCTGTCGCATAGCCAACAGTGTCGTTTCTACCGCTTTCGACCGCTCGTCTGCGTTGGATCCGGCTGTAAGATGGAGGATGCGAGCATCGTCGTCGATTTCCCAGCCGGGTACTCCGCGGAAAACCTCGACAACGGAGGGGAGCATATAACCCAGCGCATAGTTGTAGCCCGAGACGCGCAATTGGTAATACGTATTGATGGACGCGATGTATGTTTCCGAGTTGACGTCCGGATACGGGAAGCCGTCGCATTGATGTATGAGATCGAGGTTCGTGAGTGACATTGTGGGCGATTGAGTGGTGGATGTTGTGTACGCAAGTGCAAGTGCTGCGCCAGCTGGGTGTTTGTGAGCTGCGTCATACGCTTACCCACACGAGCTTGAGTGGGGGCGGGGTCTCGAAACAGCAACAACCATGTCGAGCTTCGTCCGTGTCTCCAGACGTTCTTTCCAAGGACAGACGAGATGGACTTCGCAGACGATCCGGCAGATTTGGCAGTTACGATGCAATACAATTGTCAGCTGTCAAAGTTTCCAAGCATCTCGTGTTCGTATGGTGTTGCCTGAAGCTAGCAAGTGCACAAATCCATCATGTTGCATCGAGTTTCTCCAATGTTCCCCAAAACACAAACTCGACGTCAACACTCATCTTAACTTTTAGGAAGAATGGAGACCTCAACTTCCAGGATCGTCCTTGTTGTACCTAAACAGCATGTCAAGACTGTGAAATCAGCCCTAGAACGGGCCGGACAGTTTGACCGGAACAGCAAGATCGTGCCTGACTTGGATAGCGAAAGAGTATCAAGTGCAGTCGGGAATTCGACTGGTCCGACACAGAGTGCTGATCTATCGAGGTCATCTCCACCTGAAGCAGACACTGCGGCATCACCAGCGGAAGCCTCACATGCACCACCAAACCTTACACAGCAGTCACGCTTCCCGAGGCTCCACTTCGACGCGACCCGCGGCGAATATGTCGACCAGTCATCTTTGGAAGACAGAACTCAGCGTGGAAGCCAGGTAGTTGAGAATGAGACCTCGAGCCTGGCGGCCGAGGCTCCTGGTGATCGCGACAATCATGTCAGGTTCCCAGCCCTGCAGTTCGATGTGGTTAGAGGAGGATATGTTGACCCTTCTACCATGAATGCGGAACTTGACCAAGTTAAGGAACCCGAACAACAGCGGATGCGGATTCCCACGACCATTCTGTACCCTGCACAAAGGAACGGCTCGGACGACATCCCGGATGTGGAGGGTTTGTTGTATAAGATAACAGAAGATCTCGCACTGGGCGAGATTTCCACAGTAATATCCATCTCACACCACGTCCCAAGCATGGCAGCATCGCCGCGTGCGACTCACCAAAGTCCCCTTCATAAGGCTTTGCGAACCGCGCTCACCTCTCTCCTGGATCTCGCATCTGTACCATCCACACACACGGTCGAAGCACTTGTCACAGCTTTCCCGGATGGATATTCAGTATACAAGCCCCTGCTTCTTCTTCCGCACAAGGCCCTGTCTTCCGTACCATGGCGAACTCTTGCAGCCATCCATCCAGCCGACTCCGACGAAATGAAAGCAGTGTGGCGAGAAATAGCGATATCAGTGGGCGCAACGCACGTCGCCATCAATGCGCCTATACCGATATCCACATCTTCAACATTAACATCATCATCCACCACGACAGGCGAAGAGAACATACTGCGCAGCCCAACCAATCTCACACCTCTATACGGCAACTTCGGTCCTGCACCGACACTGCAAACCATAACCTCACCAACAGCAACAGACTTCGCCGACGCCCTCTGGGTGACTGCGCGTCAGAACGGTATTTGGCAGACCTGGGCGCCGCTCTACACGATGTTCAGTCGTGGCAATATCAATGAGAAAGCAAGGATCTTGAATCTCCCTTCGGTCAATGTTCTCAACGTCGCATCAACAGCCGTCGATCTCTACGCTGGAATCGGCTACTTCGCTTTCTCCTACAAAAAGAGTGGAGACAGACGGGATACAGGAATCAAGCAAGTCGCATGTTGGGAGATAAACCCGTGGAGTGTCGAAGGACTACGCAGAGGTGCGGAGATGAATGGATGGACGTGCCAAGTACTCAAAGATACAGATATAGCACGACTTTGTGAAAGTCCCTCGAGAGACGATTCCTGTCTCGACCAAGCGGATCTTCTCGTCTTCCAGACAAGCAACGAGAGTGCTGAGACGGACTTCACGTTACTTCCATCGCCTAAGCCACCTGTTCAACACGTCAATTTAGGTTTGCTGCCTTCGTCCAGGCTCTCCTGGGGTGTTGCGGTTGCGATGCTTGACAAACAGTTTGGAGGATGGATCCATGTGCATGAGAATGTGGGCGTCAATGATGTCGAAACAAGGCGGAAGGTTGTAGAACAGGAATTCCAGAGTCTGGTGGACAAGAGGGACGCCGCAACGAGAAGGAAGGCGCTGGTGGAACATGTGGAGAAAGTGAAGATGTACGCACCTGGAGTTGTGCACTGTGTTTATGATGTTGTTATTGGAGACGATATTTGAGAGCCGTGGAGAGCCGCTTCTTGTCAGCACCACGAGGACGGCTGATGTTTGGAGGTGGTCATCAACTAAAGATCTGAATAGACACCACATGGCTTTACATCACACCAACTGTTACTTTCACATGCCATGGCATTCATGCTTGTTAAATGCACCAATTGTAAAAATGATAGTAGATTTGATCAGTCTATTGATGGTATCATGGTTTCCACACCTTGTGTCTGCTAGATATGATGGTATCCCCTCAGCAGCACATCGGATCAAAGCAAAACTCCACCCTGGATGCCGAAAGCAAAGGTCGCAACCTCGCTGTGAGAGTATCCCAACGCCCGCTAAAACGCAGCAAAGACCAAAACGCAAAGTTCCAAAGGATATAATACAGAGATGGCAAAATCTGAAGTCGCCATGGTAGGAGAGTCGGCACCCTGTTGCCGCGCTCATTCGACCTCTGTCAGCCACCTTCGAATTCCCTCTTTCAGGGAAGAGTCGTTCTCGGTTCTTGGGTGAGAGGTCTTGGTAGTCTTTGTCGTTTTTGTCTGACCACCTTCCTTGGAAGGCTGTCTTCCTCCGCGCTCAGTGGCTACGTCTTTGACGACAACCTCCAACGCTTCGAACAGCACGCTCTTACAGTCAACATGCGGTACTTCGACGTGTGGAACCGCATCTGACTCCGCTCGTGTATCGCGCCGACCCCTTCTGCTGCTTGATCGTGATGACTGGGCAGAGTTGACACGAGTCACTTCACCAGACTGTGCCAGTACACGATCCACGCCGTCTATGAGGGTAGAATCGAAGTCCATGATGATTTCCTCATCGAACTTCTCAGCGAGGTGGACTTCAGTCATCATTGGAACAGCGCTGCCTGAAGTATACGGATTGCCGTAACGCGAGTGGCCGGGCGCCAAACCAGTAACGCCTGGCGTCATGGCCGAGGAGTGGTAGGTAGGTGTGGGGATCAGCTTAACAAGGCGTCGTAAGCTGATGCGCTTGATCGAGAAGGAACTCGTGTCAGCGATTAGAGCAGAACAGATATCCATCCAGCGTTCAAGTGGACCAGACTCCAGACTAGGTGTAGTCACGGTACTCAAAGGTGTTGGCTCCGCGCTCATTGCCCGCTTGATGTCTCGTTCAAGGTAGCGATATGGTTTGATAGCTTGGACAGCGAAGTCAGGATGAAACTGACTTAGCCACCCAGCCACGTTGACAGGCTGTTCTGGTTCTCCGTGAGGCGTCGACAGAACCGATGACTCACCAAAGCTGGAGCCCGGTTGACTTGAAGCTGACCCGAATCCTCCCAACAGTGGGGACTGTAAAGGGGAGTCGAAGTCGGGGAGCGGCAGGTCAACGTCGATAACGCCATCCTTTTCATTGACTGACAATTTCAAATGACTTTCAAAAGTCTTCTGACGCTCGGGTATCGGCCGCGCTGCAGATGCAGGGACACCGGAAGTGCCACCATTAGAGTAAACACTGAGAGTGTCTTTTTCGCCGGAGTCAGGTGGAAACGGAGATTCGACAACATCGCTCTCGAAGACACGGTCCATGGAGAGTTCTTGTACCATGTGCTCAAGCTGCGATCGAGGGCGCTCTTGCCCACGAAAGCCCACGCCATCATCTGTCGTTTGGAAGTACTCACTTTGGTCGGTCGAGGACGAGCGACGGCCGCTCCAAAAGTTCATGAAACCACTCCAGCGACTAGTGTTGCTGGAATCGTTGCTGGCAAGGCTTGTCTGGCCTGTGCCGCTCCGTTGTAGGGTGCTGATCAAGTTGGTGGACGCCAGACTGTCACTGCTTTCTGGTCTCATGTCAGGCATGGTGCCGGATGACTTTGTTCTAGGGAAGGTGAAGTGAGCGACAGGCATCGCATCTTGTGGGGTGGCTGTTGAGGTGGTCACAGTGCTACCTGTTGTGACCGGGCCTTCCGACATTGAGGGGACAATTAGAGTGGTCCGAACTGAATGTGCAGAGGAACGTCGCGAGTGGCCGAGCGGACGTACAGGCTCTGACGTCTCAATCAGGGCCGATTCGGAACTTTCGTCTAGAGCCTGCGTAGACGGTTGATGCACACTCTGGGGTTTCGGGGGCTGCAGAAGAATATTGGACATGCTCTGCTTACCCCTCGGTCCTCGCTTTATCTGCCTCCTTAGCGATGGCTGTCTTGAGGGCGGCATATTGGTCGGAGGCGACTGTGAGTAAGCACGCAGGGACGCTGAAGTGCCAGGGCGCGCGTAAGTGCTGTCGCCCATGGCAGACGCGTTGGGTGGTAGAAAAGCAGCCAATAGGAAGATGAGTCTCCGAGCAGCCATCTTATCTGGGGAAACAATGACAGTGCGACTCGGAATGGTTAGGTTCTCTCCAGCCGTCGCTTTTTGCAATTCGCGATGGCGCTTGCGGTGCCACCTGGGGCCCAGGATGTTGAGCCATTCAGTGTGGTTACCGAGGAAAGCAGTCAGCAAGTTGAAGAAGAAGAAGTTCTGTTCTCGTCGACCTGCCCAGCGACCAAGCCATCTGGCCTCCTCGCGCCACACGCCCCACTTGCCTTGACCTGTCATTACGCGGGGAATTCTCATGCCGCTTACGACGCGATTGCCGGTCAGCTCTGCTGCGTCTCGTATCTCTTTGTCTATCATGAGGGCGTTCGGCTGCAATCGCAGGGCTCGTCGACTGGCCTGCAGAGAGGAGTCTCGAAGACTCGTCCGTGAAGGCTGGTTTCTCTGGTGGTGGGCTACAGGTGTGGCCATGCCATCTGGTGATTTCGGCGCCTTGAACTGAGCCAATATGCGCTCCTGAACTACGTGTTGGAGGCTGCTTAGAGCGCGCATGATGACATCCCAGTGCTGTCCTACAACATCAACGCGGTCATCGACGTCACTACACAGCGACGAGGATAAGAGTGATTCGACCCCGAGGTTAGAGTCAATGAAGGCCCATCCTGCGCGGCGATCCGAGTCCAAAGACGAACCAAGAGACTCCTGTCCAGGGGCAGAGGTCGAAAGGTGTCCAGGAGTCCTAGTATTGGCACTCCGGGACGAAGGTCTCAGGCTCGGCGACGTGTTCGATATGGGCAGGTGGAGGATGATGGTGATGGCGTACATGGGGCTTTTTCGCACGTGTGACGGGTATGGCGGCTTCGGGGCACCTGGCTTGACGTTCGTGGACGGAAAAGGGAACCCATTGCCTTTCGGCAGTGAGCTCTGCGGTGTGGGCGTGCGGTCGTCGTGATCCTCGTCCGGCATGGTGACGGAGAACAAGCGTGTGATGAAGATGGTCCGTCGCTTGGGCTCTTTCTGTATGCTTTCGGACGAGTCGGCGCGGGGCATGTCGGTCGGGAGGTTGGCGGGAGTGAAGGATTTGGCGAGATGGCTTCGGCGGCGGAGGCCCTCAGCACGGCCCAGGGAGCTTGTCGCATCCTGGACGCTGGTGCTCAGGATGGAGGCATCGGCGGGCTTGGTGTCGAGGGGCACGATGTGGATCTTGTTGGAGTTGCCGCGGTAGTTCATGGCCAGGTTGCCGAACATGCAGTCGAGGCAGATGTTGGCCAGGTCGGTCGACTCCTTGGCCCGCGCCTGGGCTTTGGCCTGGACCTGGGCGTGCTCGTCGATGTTGGGCATGGAGGAGATGGAGCTGCCGCGGGTGCGTATGCGCGTGAAGCCGGCGACCGTGGGCGAGCGCGGCGGCGGCGTGGGCTCTGTGGCGAGGGAGGAGCGACGGGCATGCAGTCCGCCAAACGTCGGGCCTGCTGTGCCCGCTGCGCGCGCGCGTGTCGTGGTGGGTGAGGTGGGCGATGTGGGCGGGTCGGCGCGCGGCGGGGCGGGCTTGGAGTCGAACAGGATGGCCTTGGGCATTTGGGGCGTCTCATCCTGGGCGATGATGATGCGGCAGTCGCGCGGGTAGTCGAGGTCGATCTCCGGCAGAGGCCCGTCGTGGGCGCTGCCGGGCGTCAGGGGCGCGGCGTGCAGAGGGTAGGGCTGGCCCTCGGGGTGGTAGAGGGTGCTGGTCTCGGGGTACAGCAGATGGCGCGTGTGGCTCTCCTCGGTCGCCGAGTCGAGCACCGTCGGCGGCGGCGCGTGGGCGGCGCTGGAGCCTTTGCGGCTGCTGAAGAGGTGTCCGATCATGTCGAGAGGGCGCATTCCGCCATGGAAGCGCGCCCAGTCTTAGGAGTGGGAGGGCGAGGCGTCGATATTATGGCGGGCTCGAGCAGTGCGGCGTGCTGGTTGACCCATGGCAGTCTTCTAGGTAGTAATTCCACTGCACTGCTACAGGTGATGCGGGGCAATGAGGGCTGCGACAACAAAGAGAAGCGTGTCGCGTGGGCCGTGTTAGTGAGGGGAGCGCGCGTAGCCTAGTGCAGAGCTGCCGCTGCTTAGTTATAGAAGGGCGGTGAGCGGCTTCTGCTACTATCGTGAAAGGATCGACTCACGACGCACATCACCGCTGCACGTCACCCCTCCACCACGGGCCCACCCAAGTATTCTCGACATCACACGTCCCCCAAGTGGGACAGCCAGCCCTCACTTCGCCGCGGTGATAGGTTTCAGTTGAGGGAAAGAGCTCCATCGTCCTCCGTCATCACAGTGCTACATGTCCGCCGACGGCCATCAGCGCCTGTGGCTGCGGATCTCCCGGGGTACCCCAGATCACGGCATGCACGTCTTTCTAAACCGTCCTAGTGCAATCCGCCGCCTCGCTTTGACAGGCTGACGCACGCCAACCCGCACTTTCGATATCAACAACCTGCTCCGTGTCGGACCACCTCCGCGGGCCATTGTCGTCGGGGCGGAAGGGACTTGCCTTGCTTTCCTATTGGGACATGAGATTGCCCAGCAGACGGTAATCTCTGTCAACACTGCCTTACTGGACCATCAACGGGCTCTTATCGAGATCGTGTAACCGTGCCCGCGTATGTGCATGTGCATTGGAGGATCTTGGTGTTGATAACACATTCAGACATCTCAAGATGGCCACCCACCTGCCCATATACCGATCATGCTCGTGCAGTGCAA